ATTGATGAGACAAATACATCCTTTTTGACTCATTCTCTAGTTTATATTTAACTTCATTTAATTTATATATCTTTAAAAAGAAGCTTGTTCTTTCTAAAGTAATTTGAAATAAGTTTTAAAAATTATTACTCCTTACACAATAATATATATAAATCCCCATACCCTTTCATTTGTCAAATTGACACTCAAGTGGACCATACATATTTTGAGTGCTGATGCATGGTTTTATGGCATGTGTTCTTGATGTACCAACTTTGACTTCAGTGTATTTTTCAGATTTGGGAATGTTCATCTTTTTCGTTCCAGTTTTATTATGTGTGCTGCTGAAGCAAGCACACGCTCATGTTTTTCAACTCCTTTACTAACTTAAGACAGTGATCAAATTAACTACCTTGAAATAATCTTGCTATGTGTCCATCCTAAACTATGGAACTCTGCCAGTTACCATGAGGGTAGCTATTGATTTTTTTGGGTACCTACTTTATCTTAGTTTCCCAGGATTTAGGAGCAATATTTCAAAAATTTATTACTGATTTTCCTTTAGGTCATCAGAAGAAAAGTGATTCCTGTGGAAAGAATCCTGTAACTAAATGATAATGTAGAGACAGGTTTCCTGGAGGGCACAAAGTGGCCTATTGTAACACACAGAATAGCTTCTTCTCAGGACATTCAGATCCTTCTTTCCTTCATTTTGGAATGGAAGAATAAATGGTGAAAATATGTGCTCTGAAATCCTCTGTCCTGCTTTAGAGCATGTAAATAACATCATGCACAAAAAATGTTCAAGCTGTCGGGAGTAAAGTATGATAATTTAAGATAATTAAATGCTTAAGACAATCAAAATAGAACTGATCCTAGTAAGCTTTTCTCACTTGAAGGAAACTTCTTTGAAAAAATAGTTACTGATCTAAATGTTTTTTCAATAGGATGGTTAAAAAATTATATTATCATCCACAGTATGGAATATTCTGCAGTCTTTAAAAAAACAGAAAAATCAATATGCAAAAGATATACGGTTGTCCTGTGAATAATGTATATACTATAATTCCCTCTAACATAAAGAACAGCAAGCAGAGAAGCAAAGTGGAGGGGCGCGGGGAGGTCTAGAAAGACACACACACCGAGCTGAGCTCCATTCTGCACTGAGAGCTTTTATTTCCATCTCTGTTTCTTCTACCATATTACGAGCTGCTTTAAGACCAGATCAAGTACAGGACACCCAAGTGAATTTAAAGTTCAACTCTAAACAGGAATTTTGTTGTAGTGTTTACTTCAATAATGTTCAGGACGTACTTATCCAAAAAGATAACCCATTGTTTATCTGAAATTCAAGTTTCACTGTGGGTCCTATATTTTTACCTGTTAAATTCAGCAACTCTAGTTCAAGGAGACCTTCAACTATTCATCCTTGTATTGCTATCAAAACATAGTTACCAAGATAAAGTGTGTCACAACAAATGGCAGGAGAGAGAGCAGTTAAGGAGAAAACAGTAGTAAGTGGTGATTTTGCTAAAACAGTTACATACATCTTCACAATTCTCCTGAGATGTCCAATGTTTTATCAGTAGTTCTACTCCACAGACGGGAGAACGAGGACACCAAAGCCTTGCATCAAGGGAGTCTCAGAGCTATAAACGACCCTATGTTTCTGGGTCCATATTCAGCAGCAGCAAGCAATAGCTGGGGGCTAGAACGTAGACGTGGACAAGAAGTAGAGAACCCAGAATGAGGCTTACATTCCACTTAAACGAAGCATAATATGATTTAACAAACACCTTAAATCTTACTTGGAATGTAAAATTCATATGAGAGCTAGTCACTAGAAGTCCCCAACTCTTACCTCAATCATTCATTCATTTAAACATGCTATGTAATTTATTTTTATGTTAATTTTCCTGTTGGTAAAACTGGAATGAGAGGACCGGGTTATGTACAGATTTGCAAAATACATATCAGTCAACTTCTGTAAAGTGAGCAGCACATGGCTTGGAAAGAGGAAGGCATGCAGTCACTGCCACCTTTTGAGTCCCCCAGTGTTTTCCTTTGTGAAAGAAAACAACACAAGAAGACTATAGTAACATTGATGGTCTATCTTGCTTGTGAAACATTTTGAAGATTCGATCGGAATGTATACTTGCTTTGCTAAATGTTAAGATACATCTCACTTTCCTTCCAGGGCAGTTGATCTTTAGGTAGAACCAGATTTACTATCATGTGCAGCCATAATTACTTACAGTTCCCCATCCCGAGAAATAATTTATTTTGTAAAGAGTGAAGCTGATTCTTTTTAGTGTACAAAGTCCTATGAATTTTAACACATGTATAGATTTATATAACCACCCCACAATCGGGTTACAGAAGATGACAGCTTTTGAGATTCTTTTTCCAAAGTGCTTCACATTCATGTTGCAAAACACTTTTAAAAATAAGAAAAAGGGATTTAGATAAATGTGCTAAAGATGCAAATTAATGAAACTAGCTTTTTGCACAAATCTGGCGGTTTCCAACTCCTCCAGCTTTTGTCAAGGCCTTTTTTTTTTTCCTGTTGTCTCTCCAGCACAAGTCAACAGGACTGGCCAGGTGGGACCTCTACAACAAGCAGGCAATTCACAGACACAGACTTCAGCATCTCTTATTTGATCCATTTTATATCACTAGCTCTCAATTTACCCTCATTGCGTTTTCCTCCTTAAAATGAAGCATCCAGGCATAATCAGCACTTTCTCACCCTTTCGGGGAAATTATTTGATTGGCGTAAAGAAAGAAAAAGTTACTGAGACAGCATCATTAGGCTTTTCAGCATCCCCAATCTGCGCAGCACAACACGCAGGCTTCCTGTGAACATTCATTTCGTCCCCTCCCCAGCCCTGCTCTCCGGATGCCGGCCGGGCGCCGCCCCGTTCGTCGTCTTTAGGATCCTCTACTGACCTCCGGGTCAACCTCCCCAACCCCCAGCGCACTACGGCGGGAGCCCTGGCTGCGGGACTTGCCCCGACACACCAAGCCTCATCGGCAAAGGGGGCTGGTCCGTTTTCCAGGTGACTCACGTCCTTGCTAGTTGCCCCTTTTCTTTCTTTCTTTTTTCTTTTTTTTTTTTTTTTAGCATGCTCTGGCTGTGGCGCTCCTCCCCTCTGCTTTTACTTTGGGGAAGAAGAGGAATCAAGAATTAATCTTCTCCCCACTCATCTTTATTTCCGTCAGGAAGTTTGAGTCTCTCTTCCCGAGTTCCGCAACTACCACAGGAGTGCGGGGGCGGGACAGGTGGGGACGCAATAATTACACCAAGTCTGAAGCTGACAGCCTCAGGTCCCACTTGGGCGCGGAGACTCCGCAGGGCTGGGCGCGAGCAGCTGCCACGGTGCACACTCTGCCCCTTTTCACCGCTGCCTAACGCTACCTTATCACGCCTAACTCTACCTCCTCGCTGTCAAAGGCGCCCAAAACGGTGAGTTCCGTGAGGTTCACCTACGGTTTTGCTCCCCATCCAAGGTAAAACACAGTAGGCAAAATGAGGAGCCACCAAAGGATGACGGGGGAGGGGGGAGAGCAAGGGATTCCCTCACCTATTCCGGCTCATTCCGCCTTCATTTCCACCAGGAGGAGGCGCGTAGCCCAGATCCCCGCGCTCTCTCGCCTTCAGCCCTCCCACCCAGGGCTGCCGAGGTCGGCCGCGCAGCCGGAGGAGTCCGGGTGGCAGGCCAGACCCTCCCTCTCCCCCTCCCCCTCGGTTGGTTTTTCCCAGCTGCGGAGGTTGGGCCAGGGGCTGGGGTGCGAGGAGAGGCGGCGCCCGCAGCGCGGAGCCCACAAGTCGCCGGGACTCTGGTGGGACGCGGAGTTGGGGACCGAGGCGGGCGCGGAGGTGAGCCGTGGGGGGCGGCCGGCGAGGGCGAGAGCCGGGAGGCAGCGCTGGGGCCTCTTCCCCGGCTGGGGCGGGAGAGCAGGTTCTGATGGCCACTGAGCGCGGGGTCCCAAGCACTGCTTTGTTCGCCGACCCCCTTCTCTCTCCTGGAGATGACTTATCCCTGTTTGGGGATCCGAGGGACTGGAGGGGTGCAGCACGGGGCGGGGGGTGGGGGGGAAGGGTAGGAGTAGAGGGCAGACAGCTGCTCAGCCCAGCATTTCCTGCTAATCCAAGAATGTTCAAAAAAGAGATCAAAAGACTCCTGTAACCCGAAACTTGCCTCTCTCCTCCTAACCTGGACGTGGAGCAGAGGTCCCGGCGGGGGCGGAGGCCCCGGAAGGCAGGTGGTCCGCGGAGGCGGGTGGGGAAGGAGCCGCGAGAGTGACAAGTTTGGTGGGGAAGGCGCTGGGGGATTAAGCGAGAAGTTAAGAGGCGGCGGGCGAGCGTGATCGGAAAGGGAGGAGGGCGCGGGAGCCTGGAAGAGTATATATTGCGTGGGCCGCGGAGAAGGGGACTTGGCGCTCCGGGTTTCGGGACGCGCGTCCGTCTCCGGGGTGAGGATGTGCGGCAGGGCTGGAGGTGGTGAGGTCCTGTCGGGCGTTGGCGGGGAGGTCTAGAGGAGAGGTGTTGGGGGTGGGGCAGGCGGGAGGAAGAGAGGGGGTGGAGTGGAATCGATTTGGCCGGCCGAGCCGGGTTCCTGCACTCGGGGAGCCGAGGTGGCCGCCGCTGCTCACACTTGCCTCCCGTTTGTCCCAGGTCGCTCAGCGGATCCTGTAAGAGGCGCCAACAAGGAAAAAAAGAAAGGCGAGGTGGTGGCACCCTGGGCGGCGGCGGGCAGGTAGAGGAGCCGGAGGAGGAGCGCCCAACGACCGTCCCGAGGCGCCGTGCGTACTTTGGGCGGGGCGGGGGACTCGGCCCCGGGAGCGGGGCGCTGGCGGCACCGGGGTTACTCAAGTTCCGGCGGCGGCGTCCCTCCTCCGCCCCCACGAGAGGAAAGTTTCTCCAGACGCTTCCGGCCAGCCTGCGCCCTCCCGGCCGAGCCTCTCGAGCCTTCGGAGCGGGCGCCGACCCAGCCCCGCTCCTGGGAGAGCGAATCGCGATGCGTGGGGCGTGCTCCCGGGGCCCCGCCGCCGGGGACGGGCGGCTGCGCTTGGCACGGCTGGCGCTGGTCCTCCTGGGCTGGGTCTCCTCGCCCTCTCCCATCTCCTCGGCATCCTCCTCCACCTCCTCCACGTCGTTGCTGGCCCCCGAGGTGTCTGCTCAACCTCCGCTGTCCGGCCAGTGCCCCACGCCGTGCGAGTGCTCCGAAGCGGCGCGCACCGTCAAGTGCGTGAACCGCAACTTGACCGAGGTGCCCGCAGACCTACCCCACTACGTGCGCAACCTCTTCCTCACCGGAAATCATCTGGAGGTGCTGCCCGCGGGCGCCTTCGTCCGCCGGCCACCGCTGGCTGAACTGGCAGCGCTCAACCTTAGCGGCAACCGCCTTGCGGAGGTGCGCGCTGGTGCCTTCGAGCATCTGCCTAGCCTGCGCCAGCTCGACCTCAGCCACAACCCGCTGGCTCACCTCAGCCCCTTCGCTTTCTCGGGCAGCAACACGAGCGTCTCGGACCCCAGTCCTCTGGTGGAACTCATCCTGAACCACATCGTACCCCCTGCGGACCAGCTGCACAACCAGAGTTTGGAGGGCATTGTGGCGGCAGCCCTGCGGGCAGGCCAGGCACTGCGCGGCCTCACTCGCCTGGAACTGGCCAGCAACCAATTTCTGTACCTGCCCCGGGACTTGCCGGCCCAACTGCCGGGCCTCAAGTACCTGGACCTGCGAAACAACTCACTGGTGAGCCTGACATATGTGTCCTTCCGCAACCTGACGCACCTGGAAAGTCTCCACCTGGAGGACAATGCCCTCAAGGTCCTTCACAATGGCACTCTCGCCGAGTGGCAAGGCCTGGCCCATGTCAAAGTCTTTCTGGACAACAACCCCTGGGTCTGCGACTGCCACATGGCTGACATGGTGGCTTGGCTAAAGGAGACAGAGATAGTGCCAGGCAAAGCCAGCCTCACGTGTGCGTTCCCGGAAAAAATGAGGAATCGAGTGCTCTTGCAACTCAGCAGCTCCGACCTGGACTGTGAGCCTATCCTCCCGCCATCCCTGCAGACTTCGTACGTTTTCCTTGGTATCGTTTTGGCCCTGATAGGTGCGATCTTCCTCCTGGTTTTGTATTTGAACCGCAAGGGGATAAAAAAGTGGATGCATAACATCAGAGACGCCTGCAGGGATCACATGGAAGGGTATCATTACAGATATGAGATCAATGCGGACCCCAGGTTAACCAACCTCAGCTCCAACTCGGATGTCTGAAAGAGCATTAGCGGACACATCAAGGACAACCCTGCATGAGGTGTAGACTTCAGCTTTCTCCCCTCCTAGGCTTGTTCTTCCGCCCTTCAGTGTAGACACCACTGACATTGAAAGCAGGGGATGTAGAGTTTCTCGCTGTGTTTCGTGAGTGTAAGATGTGGACAGCAGCGCATGGTGTTCTGTCCTCTTTTCTTGGAACTCAACTCGTGTGGAGGAATTTTTTTTTTCTTTTTCAGGTTTCAGCATGAACGTGGACTCTTTGCTGTCCCTCTCCTTAGTACAATCCACGGTGTAGCAAGTGTACCCACACAGACAGCATTCAACGAAAGCTGCCTCAACTTTTTTGAGAAAAATTCTTTATGTGTAAATATCAGTTTTATTCTCATGTACCTAAATTGTGCAGAAAATATTTGCATACCATAAACTGCCTGCAGACCCTAGCAAGCTCTTTCAGATAACTCCACAGCACACAGGAGCTCCTGCATCCAAGAGCATGCTCACACTTACTGTTCTGCTTATTACAAAAAGTAACTTGCAACTTCAGATAACTTCTTTGACTAAGTAAAATTACCCTTGTGACTGCAGTTTATATGAAACTGAGGGTTTTTTTTTTTAAATATAAACTGCATTGAGATCCAAAAGACTGAATTGTTAAGAAAAATCAATAAAGATTCTTGAGAGAATGACATTGTATTCAGGTTTGCTGTTTGAAAATAAAGGCTTAAAAGCAATGATACTGAATGGTCTCTATTCAGGTATATTATTAGTTAACCTAGCTCAGAATCAAGCTAAAGCAGTGTCTTATATAAGTAGAGTTTGGAAATAGTTTTGAAATGGTGGATCTTTTTAAGATTTAAATAGAGTGTTTGAATATTCATGTGACTACACTTCTCATGGTCTCAAAGTTAATGTTATTCATGAAAAATTTGGTAAGAGCACTAAGAAATTGCTGAGTTCTGAGGGTAAACACTTAACAGTGCAGGACTTTTTCTAGGCTAAGGAAGCTACAACCGAACACCATTATTTACTTAAGGAAATTTTCTGTATGAAATTGTTCTACAGGCTTTTAGAAGAGTATGAAATATAATAAATGTGTGAAAATGAAGTATCTTTAAGACAGAATATTCTGAAAGTTTTAAAATATGAATTAAATAATACTTCCTGAGATCATAGTATAAATTGGAACTTGGGATTTTTGACTGACATGTAAAGAAAAAACTTAAATACAGAATATAAATGATTGGTGGTTTTTCAGAGCACATTTGAAAATTGCCGTGATTGAATCAGTGATTCTAGAATTATGTAAGTTTGTATTCCTTTGTGAAGGATAACATTTAGGTGTGATTTAAAGCAATCATTGATTCTTATCAGTAGTAGACAAGAGGGCTGTCAGCCATTCAGACGGCATAGGAAAGTCTTTTAATCTGTTTCCAAGCTGTTATATCAAATGACTTAAATTTCACCATTATTACTCAACTGAAATTAGTGGCTAAACTTGCATTAGTAAGTCTGAGGGCTTGTTTTCTCTTTAGATGAGTTGCATTCTGCATTGCTTTTTGTTTGAAATAAAATATTATAAATATTATAAATAAAATTAGTAGTTCAAGCTCTAGAAGTTTTTGCTAATCCCTTCTTTGAATTAAATCAGAAGTTTTTAAAGTGAAATTATCTGAATCTGTCTTTTGTTTAGATTACATTATTTATTCAGAGTATGTTTTAATATCTTAAAGTTTGTGAGTTCATTTTATGAAATACCTGATACATAATATTGCATTTAACATGTTATGTGTTCACTCAGGAATAAACCGGCTGGTTACCATTCTTTCCCAAGGATGATGATGCTCCTAGCCTGCTGGAAGTAGACGTGTGTAAGAAATGATAGCACACTGTGTTGGGAGTAAGTTGCTGACGGACTTGGAGAAGTCTGCCTAGTTTAACAGAAATTGTAACGTTTATAACGAAACTTGTTGGAAGAATTGTTTCTTCATCATAAGATGGTCCCATAATTAAACAGTTTAATCTAAGATTCAGAAAAGCCGTCGATTTATTAGTCTTGCGTTTCTTATTGATTCCCTAAGGCTGTTAGAAATCTATGAGCAAACAGACCTGAGTTTTCACCCATGAAGTGCTCAGTTTTTAGAAAGTCATGCTTTTTTGTTTTTTTCTTGTAAACTTTCCAATTTGTCATTGATGTTTTCTAACACATCACTCCTTGCTGTTTTCCAAAATGTGGCAGTTGAAAATTTTTAAGGTGGAAAATAGTTCTAATTTGACAGCTAATTGATATTGTTCAATGAGTGCATACAGCTACAAACCTACAAGACATTCTGAGTTCCTTGAAAAATATGTTATAATTAAATTCAGTAATTAGATTAGGAAAAATTAAATAAAGTGTCACTTTATTTGAAAATAAATCCACTCGTTTTAAGTACTTTAGTACCATTAGGTATTAATGATTCTGGAATCCTACAAGTATCCCAGGTTAAAATTTCATTCTTAATAATATACTTTACTGTGATTTAAATGCTTAGCTTTCCAAGTTTCATTTAAGGAACACAAAATGCTTTTTAAAGATTCAAATGCTTGATTTATAAAACTATTAAATGTCCAACACATCTCTACATAAAGTAGCAAGAAAGTTCAGAGTAATCCTATTATTTGAATTGTACTTCTCCTTCATTGGAACCATCCGGTTTACATAGGTTTTGTAATTCAGCTTTGTTCGTCCTAAGTGTCATTCAATGGTAACCTACAGAGAAATTTGTACAGTGGCTGCTAGATTATTCTTAACAAAATAAGGACTTTCTAAAGTACATTTCATAGAATTTTTTTATTTAAGGAAAAGCTGCAGACTGGTAGAAGTGGAGGGAAAGCTAGACTGAAATAAATGAACAAATCACAAATTCTAATGCCTTTATAATAGCTTGACTGCTAACGAATGTGACTTATGCTCATATCACAATTTAACTGAAAATTTAAAAGAAACTTTTCTGTAAGTCATTGTGAAAAAAACAGGATCCACATCCACTGTGATTGTTTCCTTGGGAATTCTGTTTCACTGTGTCCCTTTGGCCTTATGTGGTAAGAGGGGCTTATTTTTATGAGGATATCCTGGGTTTTGTAACTTTGTGTGCTTCCATTTAAATGTTTCCATTAAATGTTTCTTCAAAGACACCATGAATATGTGCAAGGTTAGAAACAATTTGGTACATGCATTCCTCCTATTCCAAAACCCATACATCCAGTTTCAGAGTTGCATCACAAAGTGAAGACAGACATTTATTAGGTGAAATTTCAGTTTCACTTTTATACTTGGGCAAGGCTTTTGAACAGTGAAAGAGAGGAAAGGTAGGAAGTGATATTTCCAGATAATACATGAGAAATATCCTGATGATGTCTTTTAGAAATCCTTTAGCAGTACTGCAGTACTAAGATAATTGGCTTAAGAATGCATTCTGCACTGTCCTAATGATGCTGTCTCCTAGATGGGGAAAAACAACTCATTGAAGATATGGCAGAGCTCTTTTCTCATTCTTATCATCAGAGACTTTTAATTCCAAAAGGTGGACTTCTACCCTTTGCCTTAAATCACTCTTCTTCATGGGTTAAAAAATTTAGATTTTTAAAAGTTGGATATATAGTTTATGTAATATAAAGAGCATATGAATTGTTAGTACTTCAAAATTGGAAGATTTCAAATATATAAAGTCCTGTTTCTCATCCTAGAAATGAAAGCAATGATGGTTATAACAGTATGTTGTATTATGACAGCCAGGTCAAGACTATTGTCCCAGACTCCCCTCTGAATGCTCATTTTGACATATGTTGGTGTTACTGATTTCTTACCTTAAGGCCTCTGAAATACCCAATACCCAATAGGAAAAGACAGTTGGCTTAATGATTTTATTACTTTTGTTCTGAGTGAATGTTTTCATTTGCTTTAATTTTATTTTAAAATTTTTTTTTGCTCTTTCGCAACTAGTTTTTTAAACCTATTGCACCTCAGAACCTAGAGTGTGCACAAATCGTTTTAAATTAATCATTTTTGATGGAAATTTGTGAGTTTGTGATGCTCCTTTAAGCCTATGACACAATAGGAAATATTTTGGAAATGTAATGGTATTTCTCTTATAGAGAAAAAATACCTCTAGAACGTCATGCTATCTTGTATTGTGTCTTGAAGATGAGTTAGCCCAGCTGGTGAAAATTCTGAACTAATGAAACTAAGTTCATGGCCATGAAATTAGTTACCAAGTGAGACAATCAGCTTTGCATACACTGGTCTGCTCTTTTGGCTCACACCCATTCCAGGTGCACACTACATCCTCTAAGAGCTTAAACCAAACAGGGAAGTAAAATCAATGCAAATCCATTATCATGCTGGAAAATCAGTGGTGACTGACCAAACCCTGGCTAATGTGCCAATTCACTGTCTTTATTAATGTGCAGGACAGTACACATGTACACACACACATATATATATGCTAGAGAGGGTGAAAAGTTAGTCACTTATGTGAATATTGAGAAAAATCTGTTATGTGTGCCTTTTAATGTATGGGAAATGAACGAAGTTTTATTATTTAAAATAAAATGTTTTAGCATTATGTTTAGATGATATCTTATGCTAATGGGACTTCTTTATGGTTCGCAGTTTAACTTGTTAGTGTAAAGAAGCATTTGTTCAAAAGGAAGTAAAGACTTGAAATCTGATCAATTGTAATCCTTAAATGAGAAGTAAATACTTAGTAAGATCTTTTGCATAACCTGGGATGGTGTCAATATAGGCTTTTTTCTTAATGGAATGCCTTCCTCCACAGTTCTGTTTCTGCTACTTTTGGTTCTCTTCCCCTACAGATAACCTTGATGCCTAACATTCAAGGTGACCCCTTACACTCCCAAGAACTGAACCGACCTCAATTGAACTGATACCTTCGTCGCCTCATTTCACAACTGTATGTGATGCTATGCTACAATTTCTCTCGAGTTTTCAATGTTATACTAAACTATGTTCAAAGGAGACTTTTTCATTTAAACATGCTTTGTGGTTATTCGTATAGATCATTCAAACACTTGTCTATAAGAGTCTGAAAGACATACTTTTAATATATTCATGTTTTTATAGAGTTTTAAAAATACACAGGTCTGTAGAAATACCATGAGGAGTTCTGCTATAAGCAAAGATGTGCGCTAAAATTGAGAAAATGGCCTTCTTTTTATATCTTATATATCTTGCTTTTTCAATTACAGTATTGTAAACATGCTCCATAAACATTAAAAACTACTTTCATATCTGGTTTTAGAGTAATGCAAGCATGTATTTTGTATGTACAGGATATTTCTTGCAGTTTTAACTAATGTTGTAATGAAAGTATTTGTATCTTCCTGTATTTCCGTATCTCATACTTTTTGCTTAAGTCAAACCCCTGAAGTATAATTATTGCATTTTAATAACTTATAAAGAAGTTTAATATCTTTAAATTAGGAATATTAAGTATTAGTATGCATGGATTTCAAAATAAACTTGTCTTTGAATTGCATTTCCCAAAAATCTTTAAAAGTTTTCTTACATAGCTCATAGTTAACTACAGGCTTTAGGATTTTCACACAAAACTACAAAGAATAATGAAATATCTGTGGATGGAATTTTGATCAGAAAGAAAATTTGACCAAACTGCCA